ATTTCATTTCAAATCTAGCATATAATATTTTTGCTTTCTTTCCTCCCTTCCCCCTCTTTCTCTCAGCTTTGTTTTCTTTCTACCAGCATTTTTATTTAGGGGAGTTTTCCGTTCGTGTTTACAGAATTATTTCTCCATATTTTTTTTTCTGCTGCCTCTTCTCAAAATGCTAATCTAAGCAATGCAATATTTCTCTCCTTGATATGTGTGATGTAGATGAAATACAAAGAGCCAAGAGCTTGAGGAAACATAAAAAGAGACTGTGCAATGTGCCTGCAGCTTTCATTTGCACAGCAAATTTAATGTTATCCAGTAACACCAGACAGGTTCCTGGTCTTACTTTTTCTTATTTCACTTACCTTTTTACTCAAACCCCGTCCCTCTGACCCGAAACAGCTCTTTTCTGAAAAAAATCTGATTGGTTTTGAACAGATGTGGAGACATGACAGAGTTCATTTAGAACATAATCAACAGATAATAATAGGGTACTCAGAGAAATGGCAGTGAATGACAAGCACCATCAGCCTTTTCAAAGCAGAAAAATTAGACATTTTTAACTCCACATGCACAACAGTGTTAGAAGAAGCAGGAAATGACTAATTTGGAATCCTTTTCTAACGTTCCAGTTTTTAAAAAATGATATTGTAACACTCTCAGGCATTGTCCCGAGCCCACTCTGCTCGCTGCCTCTATTGGAAATCAGATTCTGGTCATGTGTTATTTGATGTTATTTGAAGCAGACTGGCTCTCTGGAGTACTTTAGTTGTATCCTTCATCTTCCTCCCTGAGGCCTGGTAGTGCTCAGCCTGTCAGGATGAGGCCCCAGCACCCCTCATGTGTGATTTGCAGTTTTCATTCCTGTAAAGATCCATCTGTTTTATGAACCTCATAATCCTCAGGCTTCTCTGATGTGGGAGCTCGTTGGGGCCCTCAGGAAGGTTTGGGTTGTTGTGGTTGCCTGTGTGTGGTTTTGCAGGGCTGACAGAAGGACTGAGCTGGAGTTTGTGTCTCCAGCCCTGGATTTCTTGTTGTGGTACAGCTGGTGACCTCCACTTGCAACCCACTGCCTGTCCAGGCAGCAGATGGTTCTCTTCAAGACATGTTTTGACCAGGAGGGCCATGAAGTGCCTGGTTTAGGGGCTGAACCTGGCTGGCAGGGCAGTGGGGAAGTGGGGACTGTCCCTTTGCACCCCAAGACACAGTGGCCACCAACCCCTCCGTCTCCTGGCAGAGCCACAGGGCCCTCAGGGCTCTGATCTTCAGAAAGCTTGGTGCAACAAGAACCTCAGAGAATCACAGAATAATCTGAGGTGGAAAGGACTCACAAGGATCATTGAGTCCAACTCCTGGCCATTCCCAAGAGTCACACCCTGTGCCTGAGAGTGTTGTCCAAATGTTTCTCGAACTCTGCCAGGTGCTCTGAGCCACTTCCAGTGCCCAAACACAGTCTGGGAGAAGAATATTTTTCTAATATCCAAACTAACCCTACCCTGACACAACTCCAGCTGTTCACTGGTCACCAGTATCTGGAAGTATCTGGAAGTCCATCCTGATTCTCCTCCTCTTCCTCCTACGCCTCTCTAACCTTGCCCTGCAGCCTTCTGTCCTGTGCCAAAGTGAGCCCCACCACTGTCCCAGCACTCCTTTGTGCAGGGAATCCAGGATCTTGGATGCTTCCAAATGTGTGGAATACAGGCAAATGTGTGAAAAACACAGTGCTGGCACGTACAGCAGGAGAGCTTGGATGCTGCTTGTAAATAAATGTCCTTGGCTTCCTTGAGATTGCCACCGTGTGTCACAACTTTCAATTCAGTATTTTACGTGCAGGTACACAATTCCACCAAAAATACACCTTCAAACCAGGATCAGGAGAAGCCTGGCTGTCAGTCCTCTGCTAAACTTGGTTTTTAGGGTAAAGATACAGCCAATAACATGCTTGAAGAGAGAAGTACACTGACATGAGGAGAGTCACTGCGTGGCTGTGTTCTCACTGTCAGGCTGATCAGGATTTTCTGTGCTGACTGGGAGCATTACAGAAGCCAGAACAAAGAAGACAAATGCCTTTGTAAAAGGGATCATCAGAAGACACAGCAGGTTCAGTGATCATTGAGACTTGTCTTAACACATGAGCAGTCTCCTGAGAGCAGTAAGCTGCTCTTCTACTTGGCTGCAGAATTGCTTGAAGGCACTATATTTTATTTTATTTTATTTTATTTTATTTTATTTTATTTTATTTTATTTTATTTTATTTTATTTTATTTTATTTTATTTTATTTTATTTTATTTTATTTTATTTTATTTTATTTTATTTTATTTTTATTATTATTTTATTTTATTTTACATTATTTTATTTTATCTCATTTTATTTTATTTTTATTTTTATTTTATTTTTTCTTTCTACAGCCTTTATGTTGGGTAGATTGTATGGCTGCTTGTGTCTACTTAAAAATCAGAGCAAAAAGCTTTGAATGGGAAAATCATTCATAGACTCTGCAAATTTACAGAACCAGTAAAAACATGAGATTTGGAGATGGGAATAAAGCTGGGCCTTGATGGAGTTTGCCAGGTGGGAACCTGCCATTTACAATTGCTTTAGAATCACTTTGCTAGATGCAAACAAAACTGCTTTCCTTAAAGGAAGAGGAAAAATAATCTGAGCTAACCATTGCTAGTTGCTCAGGTGATGTGGAAGTGGTGATGAGAACTCCCTGAAATGTGCTGGTTAAGAGATAAGCTTGTGAAGTTTGCAAACAGAACACAGAGAATGGTACTAAAGCTCAGCAGAGTTCTCAACCCTGTGGTTTTTTTAATGCTAATTAAGCATCCCCATTACCTGTGACAAGCAGGTATTTCATTCACAGTCTGCATCTGTTTTCATATCTATCTATGTTTGGTGTCCTTCACCATTCCTGGGGTTATTTTGAGGCTGATATTCTTGTTTGGTCATCTGTTCTCTCAGGGAACAGGCAAGCTTTCTATTTATTGAAATTCATCTTGGTGTGGGGAAGATTAAAGCCTGGAATTGATTTGAGAGGAGCACTTTGAAGCCCTAAAGTACAATCTGTCTCTCATTTCCATTTCAGACCTCACTTCACCCCACATTTGAAAACATTCACTCTACAAACCCTATCTTACAAAATGCTCAGGTACCAGATTTAGATGCAGATGAACCATCATTTTCTGAGCCATAAGAACACCTTAGTGTACTAACTCAGCACATTTATAGGATCCTTGGTGCCCCTGCTTCTGCAAGGGGCATTCACCAGGGTAAGGATCTGCTGGTTGATCTCATGTCTCCTTTTAATGAAGATTTGAAGTTCTTGCTGATCTCCATTAACAGCACAATTAGAACATCCAGGCTGATCACCGGGGGAAAAGGGGAACCAAGGTTTCAACCTTTTTGCCAGATAACATCCAAGTTTCACCTTGCAGAAGGTCTCAGCACTAAAGCAAAGGTTATTCCCCAGCTCTGCTCCTCAGGCCCTTCTCCTGAACCCCTCAGAAATGGCATCTTCTCTTTCCTGCAGAACACCCTCATCCCAGCCCTGAGGGGCTTTTGGTTCCCTGCAACTATTCCATTGCTCTGTGCCAACTGACACAGCTCTTCCCAGCCTTCAGCAAACAGGACAGCACGGAAAGCAAAGTTGGGACACACCCCCACAGAGTAGAATCAACCTCAAACCTACGGCAAAGTCATTGAACCAACTCATTTAAAAATTCATTATCAAGAGCATCTCAGTTCTGAAGGGGAAAAACTGTCCAAAGAGGTTCAGCCACCTCTCATAACATCATATTTTAAAGTGTGCTGTTAATTATTGAATGTTTGCACAGTACTTTGGGAACTTTGTCTAACAAGGAAGGCTGATATGTTGCTATGTATAAATGATAGAATTAATAAAATAGAAAACATAGAATCACAAAGCCAGGTTACCCTTATCACTTCGTCAAAGGCAGGTTTAACTATCTTCTTTTTTTGGCTGCTGGCTTAATTAGATAAGCTGCTGAATTTAATTAACTCATCAAACCTAATTTGAAAAGATCTCTTAAGTCAGTAAGAGCTTGTCTTATGTTTGTTATTTCTACCTGTTGCATTGAGCCTTTAATATCACCATTTTGCTATGATATTAGTGGTGGCCTTAACTGTGTTCTAATTTACAGTATTTACTCAGGTGGTGGCACTTGCCTTGTTTCTTAGGTACCAACATGAAAATCAATCACAATTTAATTTAAGTGAAATCACTCTTCTAACCCTCTGTCAAGTCAGCTACACGTTAACCCCTGTCCCATAAGTGTAATTTGAGTTTGAAAGGTGAATTATTTCATAGCAAATCGTATTGAGTTTCTGAAGTCCCAATTCCTGGAGCGTGCTGTGACACAAAGATCCTCTGGATGCTCTTTTGGGACTGTTTAACCAAATTCTAAGGTAATAAATTTGAGGCTGAAATTGGTATTACAGCGACATAATTCATTTGAACACACATCAGTGTGTGATGCTCCAGCTTGTTGTACTAGTCTGAAACTTCTAAAGAGAGAATTACTAGGAAAGAACCTACATTGAAATATTTGCTGTATATTTTGACCAGTTAGCAGGACCTTTTTTTTTTTTTTGGCCTGGGTTTTACATTCCTAGAGATTTGCCACACAGAGAGGAGAGAGATAAGTTGATTGCTTAAAAATCAAAATTTCCCTAGAAATTATTTCCTTGCTGTTCTGTAAAAAGTTGTTCTATTGCAATGCTCTGCAATTCTATTATGCTGCTGATAGAAACATTGCTAATTAAGCCTGGAGGAGCTCGTGTGTATTTGTGAAAAACCATCAACATGTTGGGTGAAATCAAGGGCTTTCTGCCTCTTCCAGGCAGCAGAAGTAACTTTGCTCACAATTGCTCTCTCTTCTTCTTCTTTTTTTTTTCCCCCTTCCATTTTCATGCTTTTGGGTGCACAATTAAAATAATCAATTAAACAAGGAAATGACTTGGGTTTTTTTCTGTTTTCCCCCAGAACGACTATCGGAAGTTATCTATGCAATGCAAGGACTTCGTGGTGGGGGTGCTGGACCTGTGCAGGGACACTGAGGAGGTGGAGGCCATTCTGAATGGAGATGTCAACATCCACCTGTACCCTGAGCACCACCGGCCAAGCCTGAGCAGGATTAAACTCGCCATCAAATACGAGGTCAAAAAGGTAAACTTATTCCTCTGGCTCTCTGGTGGTGAAGTGTTCACATCTAAATGATGCTTCCTTGATGTCACCTGAAAAATCATAAATCAGAGATAGAATTCAGTGGATCAGGACTGCCCTGAGAACTGTGGTGTTTTGTGGCTTGGTTTGCATTTTGTCACGTTGTTTCATGTCGAGAAGGTTATTTGCAAAGTGAAAAAAAAAAATCCATAAGTGTTTAAAACAACTCTTCAGCTTCACAGAAGTGTGTTGTGCGAATGGAAAATTTTATTCTGGCAAATTCTAGGCCTGGGTGGTCCCAATTAATTGCTTCCACAATATGCATTGATGCGAACTGGGCTCCTGCTCTGGAACTCAAAGAGTGTTCCAAATTTTCAAGCTCACATCTGCTCCCTCTTTCCCCTCCCTAACCCACCACCTGCTTCCTTTTGCCTCTTGACTGTGCTGCTGTGCTGGCTGGAGAAGGTCTTTTCCTGTTATGAAAGCCATTAATTAAAGAGAATCTTAAAGCTCATGTTTGAAATTAAATGCTTTCACGCAGGAGCACATGCTGTGGAGCCAAATATTTTCTCCAAGGATGTTGTGTCTCTGCATTGTTCCATCACCAAAACTGAGCAGAACATCTCAGCTCGCTCTTAGTTACAAGCTGGGTCGAGCTTAGTTATTGAAATTGTTGCTTTGGTGACAGGAGCCAACCTTGCTCTGGTGCCCTTCAGAAAATGAACTGATCTAAAAGACACAGACAGAACCTCATCAAGGGACAATCCCCAGTGATTATCAGCGCTTTGGTCAGAACATCAAGGCTTTTCCATGTGTGAAATCTGTGCTGTTTTGCTCATTTATTCTCCTAAATATTTCTGCCATCCCTCAGACACCAAGACCACGAGCTGGAGTTGCTGCTTTGAGCACATCCATCCATCCATCCACCCTGGCTTAGCTGCTTTCAGAGGCACATTCCTCCATTTTTTACCCTGTATTCATGGGCACCTTTTTGTAATGCCCTAAAGCATCCCTGGGAGGTCATGTACACTTGATCTTTTTATGTATAAAATATCTTCCTGTGCTCAGGAAAGCTGAGCATCCTTTCTGGATCACAGCAACTTGCTGCTCACCAATAACAAAACCAATTCTGATAGTCATAATTGGAATATAAATGTAAGCATTCATCAGCCTCGTGTGGACCCTCAGGTCAGCACTTCTCAGCATGTTTTTTTCAGCACAATATGTGTAAGATGAGTACTTAGCTGCTGGTTCTAAGCTATTTGTGGGAGGCAGGGACACGTTCAGACAAATGGCTTTGGTTATTGGCAGTGACATGACAATAGACTGATGTTTATCACACCTGCTGAACAAATACCTTGTGTTATGGTAACACAGCAATGATTTCCTTTGAAGGCAAAACACTTCAAGTGCAAATTTTTGTTCAGTTCAGAGGTATTTTTAGGTTTATATTTACAAATACTGTGCTTTGAAACCAGTATTCATTTCAAGAAAATCCTATGATAGAGAGATCTAATAAACCAATTCTTGCACAGATTCTGTTGATATCTTCTGACCTCCTCTACTCAGTAAACCTTCAACTGGCACCTACAACAGCTTTTTGTCCCCACCTTAAATGATCCTTCTCTGCATTTTTTTCCTTTGTTCTCCCCATTGGAGTTCCCTGTTAACTCATCCATTTGTTACTTCAAAAAAAACCAGTTCTCTGTTCACCTGAAAGGACACAGTTTTATTGATCATTATCTTTTTTCCTGATTTACAAAGTTTGAGATGAATCTTGTAAAGTCATTCAAGAAAGCATCAAAGGTGACAGACTTCACTTGACTGTCTCCTTGTTCCTTTTGTTTCTTTTTTTCTGAAAAACACTGAGAGATGGTGGTGAGAAGTTTAAGGCTCTAATATAATTGAAGGACATTATATAAAGGTAATTGAAGAATTAAGAAACTCTGCTTTTACGTATTTTGCAGCTAAAATTACAGTAGTTTACAAAGTGGTCTTTAAAAATGCTGTATTACTGTAATTCTCTACAGTTTTTTGAAAACCTAGACAACCACTCTGTACCCCAGGATTCTTGGGAAAAAATTCACTCAAATGTCCTCTCTTGAAGTTTTCCAGAGGCATTTTAAATGAGCTATCTTAATTATTCATGATTCCTCGAAAAATATTAAAATGGGGACAGTCTGTCAAGAGCAAAACAAACAATTTTCAAACATTTAAGTGTTTACTGAGTCCTGGATTCTTTGCAAGAAACGGGCTTTTAGCCCAAGTTGTGGGACTGTTGCAACTTCACCGTTGTCTTCCCTGATGTGATTTAGTGATGCTTTGCATTTGCATTCTCCAGTCAGGAATGATTTAAGTTGGGTGGTTTTGGTGGATTATAACCAGAAGTGGCTTGAGTTGCTAAACTGGAGTTGGGGTCAAGGATCAGGAGCTCTGGGATCCCCTGAGCTGCTCCTCGTGCAGCTGATGAGACCTGAAAGTTTACTCTGTGTTCTGGACTGAAAATGTTATAGTAATGTGTTTGTTTTTTTTCTTGAAACAACCAAACAATCTTGTTTTCAGTCAGATACTGGAAATATAAGGGTAGCACAGGTTTTCTCTGTGTGTGAACTCACTTCTAATTAAGCCAGAGTATGATTTCTGTCTTTGAGAGGTAGAGGTACAGAGGCTGGGACTACCCTTGGACAGCCAATAGTGAGAAAATGAAGGTTTTGATGTCCCACAACAAAGCTATTTTTCTGCTTTATATCAACTGTAAAGAGGCCTTCATATTTTCTCTTCTCTTCTAAAATCTACAGATTTTTAATCTGTACCACTATGATCCTTTCATGTATTCCTTTAATGTTGGCAGGGGGCTTATATGCCAACACTTTCCTTTAGGTGTAAAGCTGATGCTTCTCTGTAGGAGGTGACATCTCATTTTCCTTCTTTCCCAACGGCAGAATTATTGCTGCTGTCTTCTTTTAATTGCAAATGTTGAGTAGCCCACCTCTGTTTTCTCAGTAGCCACCACAAAGCCAGAGCACCTTTCTCTTTCACGAGTTTTAATTTAATTAACAGTAAGACACATAAATTGGGTTGGGGGGAAAAAAAAAAGAAAGAAAAAAAAAAAGAAGAATTAAACAGAACACCAGATGGCTGTGTAAATCCTATTTAACAGAGAGCTGGAACAGGAACTTTTCTTATAACTATATTATTAATAATTAACATGTGGAGGATGCTCTGAACAGAATACTCATGGCTGCATTAGATTATAACTTTTCACTGCCTTGGTCACACCACTCAGATACTGAAGGGCATAAAAAGTCCCAGGTCTCATTAACTGCTGCAGCAATCTGTGCTCCCCATCCACTGACCCAGAGGAGGGGGTTTTACCCTGCACAATACCCTGGACAAGAAATGCCTTCCAGGGTCTCTCTCCCCATGGAATGGGGCCACACTGGGAGCTTTTCCAGCTCTCACGGGAGCTGAGGAAGGTGAATTAATTCCTGAATGGGCAAAAGAACCAACCCTGCTCGTGCTGAAGAGACACTTCTGCCCCTCAAAAGGTGCATTAACAGAAAATGACATTTTGGTAACCCAAAATAAAATATTCCAGCTCCACAGCTTTAGGAATTTCTCACAGGACAAACACTGATATGTCCATGGCTGTAACAGATATGCCTTGGGACAGGACAGGCTTATGTCTGATCCCCTAAATTTGAAGCCTCAAGGAGGAGAACTCCTCAAGAAAAAAAAGGATTTCAAGGAGTTGGAGTTTCTTCTCTGCACCCCCTGGTTAATTTGTTCCCACTTTTTAGTTTCAGGAACATTTAATTGAGGTTTTGTGGAGCCATTGATGGCTTGGACAGTGGTGGTGGGATAAAAAGTGTCTCTCATTTCCACCACTGGAGAGCCAGTTGATACTGTACAAATGTAATTTAATATTCAGGGGAACAGTGGAAACACTCTGGTCATCCTGGACTCTTCAGCTTATCCACGTAACTTTTCTTTTTACATTTTTAATTGCATATTACAGATGTTTTGTCCGAGATTGGAAAGGGAAGGAGTCACTTCCCTTGCTCACAGAAAACATTTCTATATCTCTGAGTATTTCATTAGCAAGGTTCCTTCCTCCCACGAAAATCTGTGACTCTGATTATTTCCTCTTGCCCAGATGTTTTAATCTTTTTTTTCTTTTCCGTGACGAATCTCATTTGGTTATTTCCTGCCCATACATCCATCCTCTTAAGGCTTAAATGAATCATTTCTCCCTCCTGGATGGTGTTTGCAATATTCCCAATTTAATGTAATATGCAGACTTAATTATTTTCATTTGCAGAGTGCCACAGGGCCTTAGATGTCCATCAAGATATTGAGAAGTCAGCACAGGAACACATCAAACTCATTACATGGATGTACATCACAGATGAAAGGGCTTAGAATTACCTTTATTAATAATAAAATTCTTTTAGAGAAGGGCCATTTTCTCTTAGACAAAAAAAAAGTATTAATTAATATGGTTTGCTACAAACCTGACTTTAGCTGACTCCAATTTTGAATTTATTTATGTCCCCGTAGGCAACAGACCTGTAAATGTGCATTTTGGCTGGAAATTCAGGTATAGATGAACACAACCCTTCAAAAAAAAAACCCTAAAAATTCAGTATTTCAAGTTATTGAGGGTATTTTCCCAAGTGATGTTCAAATTTGGATGTCTGCATGGATACTGTCCCAGGGGGAGGCTTTCCTTCTTGTCACCCAGCTGTAGATTTCTGCAGCTGAGCAGGTTTTTGGGACTTTCTGCCTGATGAAGAGAGGAGTCTCATCCTATGAGTGAGTCTGTCTCTCCTTCAGCTCTGTTGGGAGTGGAACTATTTACACCAGAGACATCTGAGCTTGAGAACAGCCCAGTTTCTTCACCATACAGCCAAAGGAAAATAATTCCTGTCTCTCCTGGGAGGGGAATAACCTCTGGAATTTTAAATTTCTCCTTCTGTGCCCGCTGTTATTGGTTTTTGAGA